AGCACGCTTTTCAAGTATTCGCCCGACCCGCAGCTGACAGCTGGCGCTGGCTTGGGGAGTTGATGGCATCGACATGGACCTAAGCATCGATGCCATTGGCGTCGGCACTTACAGGTGTTGAAAGCGCCCGGCGCTTAACGACAGGAACATGCTTCAATGGCATATTAATGTGCACTTTGATCCCATCCCATTGTTCACCCCGTTATTGTGGCTTCATGCGGTCAACGAGCGGACGAGTGGACAGTGCGGTACGGGGCTTGGCTATTTGTAATGCCGCATGTAGACAATGTGTAAACAGGGCTAACAAGGTGAGTGTGCCTTGTTGTGGAGGCAGGCAAGTGCAATTCCCATTCCCGGCTAAATGATAACTGGGCGAGTAATTATGCAGGGCTCCTCTTGCTCTTAGCTGCACCTGCGTGTATATACGTATATAGAACAGCGGCCCCCATCGAGCTGGTAATGCCTAAAAATAGTGGTCGGCGGGTCCATCCATCAGTCCGTCTGTGAAAAATGTCTTTTCGAGTACTATGGAGGGGACACACAATGGAGGAGTGATAAATGAAGTGAGACTTGAACAAAAGAAGAAAAAGAAAAAACTGAAATGCTTATCATTTGGCAGAGTGTTAACCAGGAGAAGCTGGACCAGGTCGACGATCATTGGCACAGTCATTCAATCATTTATTAATAGCAATGAGTCAAATTCAGCACACACACACACACACACACACACACACGGTGGGGGAGGAGCGTGAAGCTTTTAAATTAAAATTCTTTGAGTATAGTGGAAACAGACTATTATTGGTGAGTTTGGTGAGGATATGGCAAAAACCAGATCGATTATGCCTCAGATATATATATAGGCCGGAGCTAGAACACGCGAGGTCAAAATAGAAAGGTGAATCAACTGTAAGATAGTCGCAGTTGCTGGCAGTTGCACAGTTCAACTGAAAATAGCCAAAAGTAAGCTAGAAAATAGCTAAATGTGCCGGCACATGGTGATCGAGTGGAAGTGGTAACATAATTGATGCCAGACGTTAATAATACGCCCCATTGTACATGTCAAACAATTTTTTGTCGGTTAACCAGCGAATGCCGCATGAAAAACATACTCAAACATGGCTCCTTGAATTAAGTACAACAAATACTTGGAACTCATATCATCTGCTCGGCCTCTGCTTGCTGCAAGGCCACAAATTAGCCCAACTCGATAATCGGGCAATCAAAGTTTATCGCGTTTCCTTCCCGTTACCAGAGCGGGTTAAAAGGACGTGTGCGCACGGTTCTGGGCTGAATATGGCCCTGATAGCAGTCCATAATCGTTTGTTGTGTCTGGCCGAGGTCAAAGCAATACAATTTTATACTCAACTACGGCCAATAGGCCGTGGCGTGAACTCAATGTGGCTTGCAACTCGTCTGGGTTGGACCTAATGTTGATGGCTTTTAAAATGCCACAGACCCTGAAATAACCGTCATATTTAATGAAAATATGACCAGGGTGGAAAAAATTTTAAGCGCAGTTGGGATGTGAATAGTCAACAATTATCTTTGCCCAGCTCAATGATAATAAGACCTATCGCATTGTGCACAGATAAAAATTAGAATATTAAGAAAGGCACCTAGCCTGGTCTGCGGTTATCTTCCAGTCGTTCCCCTCTCAGTATATTGTGCCATAAACTGTCATCTAGATCGAAGCTGTTGCATTGTTGGTTTGGTCTCGAGCAAAGTCAATGACACTTTTTGTATCCGGGATCAAGCTGAGCCTCAATCGAATGCCCCACTGAGTCTGCCCGTCAAAATGCTGAACAAAGGCGCTGCCAGCGCCATAAACAGTTGGGAATTGGGAAGTGTTTTTGGCTGGGTCTGGAGTCGAATTCAATTTCCATACAATTATTACACAATTTCTTTTCAAATGAACCAAACGAAAATCGGCAAATGTTTTTCTTTTTATACCCTTGCAAATGGTATTATACTTTTGTCGAGAATTGTGTACCACATAGAAGGAGACATTTTCGAGCCCATAAAGTATATATATTCTTGAACAGCCGAGTCGATTTAGCCACTTCGTCTGGCTGGCCGTCCGTCCGACCGTCTATCTGTATTAATGCGAACTAGTCTCAGTTTTATGGCTATCGTCATGAAACTTTGCATAAGTTTCCCTTTCTGTTGCACGCAGTACATATGTCGGATTCGGCTGGATCGGACGTCTATAAATATAATTATATAGCTGCCATAGGGACAATCGGTCGAAAATTAAATTGTTGTGTGCTACTTAGATACGGTCAAAGCATTATGGACATTATGAAAAGGTTGGCTATGCAAGGGTATTAAATTCTCAGCGTGCCTTTCTTTTTCTTTTATTTATTTTTTTTTTTTAAGATTTGATTTGGGTTCAAAACGTTCAGTTTTCAATTGCGCACAAACAAGATATAAGCAATCAGTGGAACCACAGTAAGTGCCAGGGCCTGAAATTCAAATCAGGCCGACTAGCTCGCATGTGCTCCTATTGTTAGAAATATGTGCGAGGGTGTGCGTGCTGTGGAATAGAAAACCATTATAAATTCCCAACTGGCATAGACACACACATATACGGACATAGACACATAGACATATAGACAGAGCAGACAATCAGTCGTCAGACATTTGTTATGTGTTGTAATTTGCGTACCCACATGCCAGGCTCCGGCTCCGGCTCCAGCTCCGGCTCGAGCAAGTCTGTGGCCCAGTTCCGGGCCCATCTCCAGTCTATGCCCATGGCCATCCAATAATAAACATTAAACATCATGTAAATTTCGTTTGTTTGCATACTGCCGCTGCTCCGAATTTGTTTTATCAATTTATTCAACGGCAAGAAACAAGTTCGAGTGCCCTCAACGGGCTTGCACGACGTGGAAGTACCCTGAAACCAGGTGCTGAGCTACTCTGAGAAACATTTTAGTTTCCCTCCATATCTTAATTAATTCAGCCTTGCTTTATCTTCCAGCTCCTAATTAACTTCATTTTTTGAAGGCCGATCATTATGCAATTTTCAGCTCATAAATTTGGCGACAAATTGTGTGTAAGACTTTGGAGACTTTTTCAATTTTGGGTGGAAATAATTGATGACACATTTGGAATCTATAATTAGTTTTTTGTATCTCGTCTGAAAATCGATATTTACTGAAATTATGAAATTTGGTGGAAAATGAAATAAAATCATTTTGCATAAACCATACGAGAATCTGAGATGTTCACACGGACGGTCGGACAGGCATGACTTAGCTCACTGTCCCGATCAAGAAAATATATCTTATGCCTGTTACAAACAAACGCAAAATCGTGCCATCCCTTTTTATACCCTGAACCCATTAAAAATGGGTATAAGGGTATATTGTATTTGTGCAAAATCCAAATGTATGTAACAGGCAGAAGGAAGTATCTCTGACCCCGTAAAGTATATATATTCTTGATCAGCATCAATAGCCGAGTCGGTCTAGCCATGTCCGTCTTTTGGTCTATACATCTGTCCGTCCGTATGTATGAACGCAAGGATCTCAGAACCTATAAGATCTACAGTCCTGAAATTTTAGATGTAGGTGATCCTAGTGCCTGCGCAGATCGAGTTTGATCACGAAACATTATATGTTGCTTCTAAAAAAGAATATATATATGCATTTGATATTGGAAGAAGAGGGTTCAGGGTATCCCCTAGTCGGGAGCTCCCAAGTAGAACCTCTAACTTGTTACATATTCAATAAGTTAGGGGTATAATAATATTGTCAATAATCATTGGATTCGGCCATTCGACTGCCTTAGACTGGGAAATATTGAGTAAAATAAACACACAGCCACACCCACCCACACCCACACACGCACACACACACACACACACGCACACACACACCCACACACACACCCTATCAGTCCTTATACTTGTCAGCGGGCATAACAAGATTCATTTTTTACGGATGAATGTACATGCACACACATATATATATATATATATGTTGCTATATATTTATATATATATATATTGAGTATATATATATATATATATATATATATATATATATATATATCAACACATATATGCATGAACATGTATTGCACACACACACACACACAGACACGCACACCCGCACACACATTCACATTAAACGGAGAATTGGATTTATGCGACCCTGAATTGCGCTCTCATTTAATTAGCAAAGTTTTTAAATGGATATTAGGATATAAACACACATGTATATAAATATATAAGCGTACATGTGTATGTCTATGTGTGTGTTTGTGTAGGTTATTTGTGCTCTTTCACTGTGTATGTGTGTGTGTGCAAAGCCACGCCCAACAGACACACCCACAACATGGCTATACTCTAGATATTCTTAGACTGTTTTCATCTTAGCTTTTAGTTTCTTAATACCTGTGGGTGGTAAGGGTTGAGGGGAGGAGGGGTTGCACAGCCTTGGTCAACTGAAACAAGGTTCCATGTACCTGTGCTTATGTTCTCAAGTCAACCAATTAGTACAGTTAAGAGTGCCCCGACTAGTAGATACCCTGCACTCAGCTGCGAAGTATGCATATGATTGACTGCTTGACTGGCTGACTGCTTGACTGATTGCCTAATTGATTGACTGTCTGACTGCTTGACTGATTGACTGCTTTTCTGATTGACTAACCCAGTGATTGATTGCCTAACTTATTGACAGCCTGACAGATAGACTGCCTAAGCGATTGACTGCCTAACTGATTGACTGCCTGACTGATTAAGTGTCTAATTGATTGATTGCCTTACTGAGTGACCGCCTAACTGCCTAACATTAAAAAATAACTTGATATACCCCATTGTCCATATGAACACGGGGTGTCAGAGCCGCCAAGACGAATCTTAAATGAAATTGTGTCGTGTTTGCGCATTAGAACGCCTATCTGGGCTGGTGCCACCCGCTGATTCCATGAACCAACCAGATGAATACAAAAAAGGTTTAACTAGCAGTGAGTTAATATAGATGGGCAACACTTACCGGTTGGACTCGGCGTCAAGGACATCATATCGAAATGGATATTCTTCTGCTCGAACGAGTAGTCCTTGAGGAAGGTGAGCTTGGCTCCCCGTGTCTTTGTTAGCCCGGTGACCGCATTGTTAATACTACGCAAATACTCGCGCTTTCCAAAGTTCGTGTGCGGCGCAATCAGTCCGATATTCAGCTGCTCCTTGTTGGCACCGACGCCCTTGCTGAGGCTGTTGCCGCCATTGGTGAGCCGCAGCGCCTCGCTGCCTGGACATGCATAAATTAGCAAAATTGGCAGCAACATCCACATATTCGTCGACTTTCTCGCGGCTCGCGTTGTTGTTGCTGCTGTGAAACTTCTTCTTATATTGCTATTGTGAATTATGTTGCTGTTGGCAGTGTTGCAGTTGTTGTTGTCAGTTTCGGCAATATCCAATGCTCCATCGATATTACAATTGTCAGAAGCATATTCTGTTTCTGCTGTTGCTGTTGTTGCAGCTGCTGTTGCTGTTGTTGCAGCTATTGCTGCTGCTGTTGTTGCTGTTGCTGAAATTTTGGAATCACGCTTTTTGCTGCCTTCAGTTGGCCTGGCAGCTAATGTTGCTGTTGTCCTTCTACGTTTCAGCTTTACTTTTGTTTTGCTACTGCCACGCCTTAGCTGCCATTTTCTCCAGTTCATCTGCCTGTTAATATTGCTGTTGCTGGCGTCCTGCTGCTGCCAGTGCGAATGTTGCTGCTGCTGCTGCACAGCATGTCGCATTAATTCGACCATCACCTAGACCAATTTATCCGCTCTGCTGTTCCGCCCCAGCCGCAATAATTATAGTTAATTTAATTTAAATATTCGCTGCTGTTGCTGTCGATTTTGTTGATGTTGCTGATGTCGATTTTTAGCTCATTTGGGTTTCATTGCCAGTAGCTGATTATCTGCTTTCTGCTTTTTAGAGGTATGTTTTTCTTTCATTCATTTTTTTTTTGGTTGGATGGATTGGGTTCATCAACAGTTGCATATCTATAAAAAGTTCTAGAGCTGCTGCCGTCGTTTAAATTATTGCAATTACTGCCTTCATTACTGCCTTCATTATGTATTGTTAATTTTAAACACAAACAAGTAAAAGTCACACACACACATGTTCATATAGTTGACGCTGGGAAACAACAGCAGGAACTGTAACGACTTGACGCCTTTCGTTTCTCAGAAGGCGTCATCATTAGCATTTGCATTAGCATTGATAGATTAGAGTTAGCCTTCGCCTAAACAATAGTGTTAGCATTAGCATTCGTATTATCGTTAGCCTAGCCGATTTTCGAATTAGGGTTAGCGTTAGCCTAAATAGTAGCGTTAGCAGTATAATTCGTACTAGCATTCGTATTACCATTAACATTAGCAATTGCATTAGTTCTAGAGCTGTTGCCGTCGTTTAGCTTATTGCATTTATTGCCGGTTTTATTATGCGTTGCTAATTTTAAACACGAAAAAGTAAGAGTCACACACACACATGTTTATAAAGTTGCCGCTGGGCAACAGCAGCAGCAACAGCATTAGCAACAACAGCTGTAACGACTTGACGCCTTCCGTTTCCGTCCCTAATTTGTTGCTTGTTGTTGAATGGCAGCAACAGCCTGGCCAATTGACAGCTGCAACTGTTGCTTTTGTTGTTGCTGTTGTTGCTAGCACTGATGGCATTGGCCGCCCGCTTGGCCCACTGTGAAGTGTTTATGGGCGTAACACAGGTGGGACTTGTTGTCGTTGTTGTTGCTGCTGTTGCGGCAGCTTAGCTGGAGCAAAATGAGCTCAGAGATTAATTCAATTTACGTTGAATATATGTATGCATGCAAGTGTATACAGAAATATGTAAATCTACACACAGCGGCTGCCGCTAATAAATTGTGTCAGGTGAGAGCTTTAATCTGTCGCTTTGACTTTGGCAAAGTTTGTTTAATTTTCTTTTTTTTTTTCTATTTTTGCCCCACCCACACAGCGTTTCTTGTCCCTGTTGACTGTCCTTGATTTACAGCTGAAGCGTGCAGCGTGGCACGATTGCAATTATTGTGAACGTGACATGCGGCTGACCTCTGGCTTTCAATTTTCCGGTTGTTGGTTTCGACATTCTGCATACTTATGCGAATTATTTCGCTTCTATTCATTTTCATTAGCATTTGCATTAGCATTGATAGATAAGTGTTAGCCTTCGCCTAAACAGTAGTGCTAGCATTAGCAATAGCATTAGCCATGGAATTAGGGTTAGCCTTAGCCTAAGTAGCATTAGCATTAGCTTCGACCATTATTCAAAGTAGGGTTACCCTTAGACTAAGCAGTAGCATCAGCATTATCATTATCATTATCATTATCATTATCATTATCATTATCATTATCATTATCATTATCATTATCATTATCATTATCATTATCATTATCATTATCATTATCATTATCATTATCATTATCATTATCATTATCATTATCATTATCATTATCATTATCATTATAATTATCATTATCATTATAATTATAATTATAATTATCATATCATATCATTATCATATCATTATCATTATCATTATCATTATCATTATCATTATCATTATCATTATCATTATCATTATCATTATCATTATCATTATCATTATCATTATCATTATCATTATCATTATCAGTATCATTATCATTAGTCATTATCATTATCATTATCATTATCATTATCATTATCATTATCATTATCATTATCATTATCATTATCATTATCATTATCATTATCATTATCATTATCATTATTATAATTATTATTATTATTATTATTATCATTTTTATTATTATTATTATTATTATTATTATTATTATTAATTATTATTATTATTATTATTATTATTATTATTATAATTATTATTATTATTATTATAATTATTACTATTATTTTTATTACTAAGTATTATCATTATGATTTTAATTTTCATGAATATTGTTATAAGCGTTATTGACATTGATGTTCTCAAAATATTGCTAGGTGCCTTAAGTTATTTATCTTTCGCTTGGGCGCAGCCGCTGCGCTTAGCTTGGCTGCTGCCATAGGTTGTGAGGCGTAGTGGGACCTAGTGGGGCATAGTGGGTCGAGGTGATTGGGCGTTGGGCGTTTGGTTAGTGTTTTGCCAACCTTTCTACGTCAGCACAATGTGCTGTTGTGGCGGATGTCGGCCTTGCTGGCTGTCGCCTTCACTCGTGTTTGTTCGGGTTGCAGCTAAAGCTGAGGGCGTTGCTGTTGACACTGGAACTGTTAGCGGCAACTCGTATTGGATGCTGCTGATACTAAGGCTGGCTGACTGTCGGCTGGCAGCTATGGCTCCCACCAATTTGTTGGGCGTTTTGAGTGACTTGCACTGCCTTAAACACTGTTTTTTCCCCACTTAGTTGCTGTCGATAAGCAGCCAAACGTCTGCATATAACTGCCTATATGTGTGTGCCTTATTGTTGACCGAATGTAGCGGGACAAAACAGTGATTACTTTTGCGGGTTGGTATTTTTAAGCCGCAACAAAAGCAGCAGCAACAATAATGACTGCATCGGTTGCCACAATAGTCAAAGACACAGAAGGTCACAGCTAACCCACAGACATACACACATGCCAACACACACACACATACCTACACACACACAAGCTGGCCATAAAATGGCGTGTCTTTTATTCGCCTATATCTTATTTGTTGTTGCTGTCTATGTCTATGGCAGCGTCTGAGCCTATGCTATAAACACGCACACGCACACAGACAGCGACAAAAGAGGAATTTATAACACACAACGTACGTATTTATACGATATACTCATCTATATGTACGTTCATGACAAGGCAGCAATAAATTGTATCTTATGAAAACCAAATAAAAGCCGTCATTGGCCTCCGAGCTCCTGTTTCTCCGGTCTCCAGGCTACGTTCGCCGGCTGTTTTGCGGCACCATACGGCCCCGTTTGCCCGTCCCCGATTCCCGCACTATAACCATGTGTAGTACCTGCTGTCCCCCTCTCCCCTATCGTTTGCCTTGGTTCCATGTAGTTTAAGTGTCCCGTTCATCGGACGTGGAATGAATTCACATCGACTGGATATGGAATTTCATTTTGTACAGTGGACGCTGCCAAATTAAAACTGCGAGAAATTTAAGTGGTCTCCATATTAGAATCGTGCATGGAATGTCATGCGACAGACCTCTTGAGCCTACAGCTGTTGTTATTAGGAAGGCAATTATTATTATAATGATTATTATTAATATTATTTATAATTGTTATTTGTTTGTATTATTCAATTTTTATCAATGTGAACATCATCGTAATTATAATTATTATTATTATTATTATTATTATTATTATTATTATTATTATTATTATTATTTATAATTATAATTAGTCATACTGTATTTATTATTGTTTCGAATGGCATTAGCATTAATGCTTTTATCATATTATTACTTGTAATTGTTATTAGTAAAACTGCATTTATTTTATACCCTGTACCCATTAAAAATGTGTAACAGGCAGAAGGAAGCATCTCCGACCCCATAAAGTCTATATATTCTTGATCAGAATCAACAGCAGAGCCGGTTTAGCCAGCTCCATCTTTCTGTCTACCCATCTGCCCGTCTGTATGTATGAACGCAAGGATCTCAGAACCTATAAGAGCTAGAGACTGCAATTTTAGATGTAGGTTCTCCTAGTGACTGCGAAGATCGAGTTTGTTTCCGATAATCGATAACTTATGCCGTTTTCAAGCAATCGATAAGAATCGATATCGACATCCTGTTTTTTGAGCAAATTGAGTAAATAATAAGAGCTAGAGTCACCAAACATGATATGTTGCTTCTAGAATATTACATATATGTACACCTATCGCCACCTCCCCGCTACCACCCCAGAGCTATAAATCAAGTTAATAACCCAACTTTTATTGCCAGCCAATCTAAGCCACAATTTAAATGCAATTGACTTTTTCAGAATACACAAATATTCTATGGTACAATAATATAAACTATTGGATGGTACAGCTAGCGAAATCATAATGAATTGGTGTATACATTTACACACACACACACATTCATGCTTCGCATTCTATCGCAATCTAACAGTATGGTAAGTGTGACTCTTTTCTGTAATGCGATTTTAGTTCCTTTTTTATCATAAGTACTTAATTGATGGTGTGGCTGCTGAGTAGAGGCATAGAAAGTGGTGCGGTGTTAGAATAAGAGGGTCCAGAGTATTCCCAAGTCGGAAGCTCCCGACTAGAACCTCTTACTTGTTATTTCTGTTATTTTTTTTTTAAAGAATATCCATTTAATTATAATAATTATTATTGTTGCTCATAATAGTTATTAGTAATACTGTAATTATTTTTATTTCTGTTATTATTAATTTGAATATCAATATTATTGTTATGTTTAATGTTATTAGTAGTTATGTATTTATTATTATGATGAGTGTCAGTATTATTAATACGACTTTTCGGATAGATCTGGCTACTAGGGTCTTTGAGTCAAAAAACACTAAGCTTATGCATTAGCCTGGGATTTCCCGCTTAATTCCTTACGGTTTTGGGCATTATTAAACAATAAACTTTCGGAATCTTTTCGATATTGGACTATCGAAACGATTAAATTAATAGCGACACGTTTAGTGCGAGGTGTTGTCTAGTCGAGCATTCTGACTAACTAATGAATATGTGCATACCCTGAACTGACCCTTAGAGGCAAATATGGTTTATTTACAGCTACAAGCGACAGCTTCTCTATTAACATTTAGTGCAGGGAATTGTCTAGTCGCGTATCCCCACTGCTGCGATTTTAGTGGGCATAGTTGTGTATCGGCTGCTCCTGCAGCAGTTTTATCATTATCAACTGTCCTTTGGCGTTGCTTTCGTTGTCAGTTTTATGAGTTTTACTGCGCCCCGACTCAGGACAATTCTCGACAACAGCTTCTCGGCTCACACACACACACTCACAGCCGCACACATATACATGAAAAGAAAAAAAAGGGGTTACCGCTCCTTTGACAGTTTTTCTATTTACTTGATGCAGAGCCGGCCACGCCCACTAGCGCTGTCAGTAGGCAGAAAGGTCGGTGCAGTTGTTGTTGTTCGGCTCGTGATGTGGGCCAACTTTTGCTTTCAATATGTGCAGCCTTCCCAGCCATTGTCATGCCCCCCTACCCACGCCCCGCCCCCCTCTCAGTGTCCTTCACCTTGTCGTAAATCGACAGTGCGTCGACCGCTGTCAGCGCGCGTCTTGTTACGAATATTTCGCTTATTGTTGCTGTCCCATTATTCTGATTGTTGTCGTTGTTGTTGTTGTTGCTGCTTATTAGTTTTTGGCCATTTTGCCACTTTCGCCATTTTGTTGTTGTTGTCGTCGACGTGTCAGAAGCCAGCGCAAAGAAAGGCAAAGCAAAAAGAAACAGAAAAAAGGAGGCAAATCAAAACAAAAACAAAAACTGGCAGCCGAGAAAAATGGGGCGTGTTATCTTTTTGACGTTGATGATGCGCGATTCGTTAGCAGCAGCAGCAGCAACAAAAAGCGTTAAAGGAGCAACTGTATGTTGTACATTTTGGGCACACTCACACGCACACACACACACACACACGCGCAATTAATTCAGTTGATAACGCTGCGTTTTTGTTGTTGTTTCCCTTTTAGTGTTTGTCTTAACTTTGTTCCGCTTTGCTTTAACATTACGCATGTGTGTGTGTGTGTGCGTGACAAAATCAGCAGCTGCAATTGAAACAAATTTTAGGCGTCTTAAATTGTAGGCGTGGCTAGCAATACACGCTTTCTCTGATCTTTACCTTTGCACGTTGACACTTTTAATCGGCTGCACTTGAAAAAAAAGGATTAAAAAAATATGTGGCTACTCTGGTTACACTTTTTGAAACGGCATGATTGATAAGCCTGGCGTTGCCTTGAGAAAGCACCATTATAAAAAAGGCTTGCATACTTCCAGGCGATACTTAATTTAAAACTACAGCACGTAGGCCTGGTCGCCAGGGGCGGGCTGCGGTAGGAGGCGTGTTCCAAAGCAATTTAATTTATGCACTTTTGGGACAATCCCAAGCCAACACTCACTTGTATAACAACAACAAAATAAAACCAAAAAAAAAAAAAACAAACAAACAAACAAGCACACACACATGAACAAAATTGAGAGCAACTGTAGTTGCACTTGTCATGCACTTTGATCACTTTGAAGCCATTTTTATTGTTATTGCTCTTAGGCTTTTTTGTTGTTGGGCAGCAAGCAGGGTGCAGGGTGCAGGGGGTAGGGGGCGGGGGCAGAAGGTAGCGAGCAAAGAGAAACACACAACAGCAGCAGCAGAAAATGAAACAAGAAACAAGTCCACACCCAAAAATTCGAAGACACGCACAACGCCGACGTCAACGTCAGCGTCAACGTCGACAACGGCGCACACACGTACAGCCACAGCCAGACACACACACACACACACACACGCGCACACACACACACACACACACACACGCACACACACACACACACACACACACAGACATACAGTTACGTTAATATGTATTTATATTTGCGAGCTGAATTTGTGGCCTGGATTTACGCTAACTTTTATTTGGATTTTTTTTTTTTTTTTTTTTTTTGTCAAATGTGGGCTATTTTATTTATTTTTTGTTCTATTTTCGTTTTGCTTACGTTTCACTTATTTACTGTTTACAATTTACTGTTACAATACACTGCTCGGGTATATCCGTGCGGCAGTCAGCAGTCGCCCAGTCAGGGGTGGGGTCACTTGGTTAGCTTGGTTCTGCGTTCCGTTCAGGTCTAGTCGCTTGTTAACGTTTACATTTGGGTCTGGGTCTGGGTCTGTAGGTCTGTGGGTCTGTGGGTCTACGTCTGGGTTGCCGTTAACGTCGTCGCGCGTTTGTGTTAGCCCCGCTGACGAGATGCGACGCTGCTGTTGCCGATGCCGATGCGGACTGAATGCGACGAGCAACGAAGTGGCACTGCCAACCCGGGACATCAGCACAGCCGTAACTACCAGCAGCAGCCGCAGCAGCAGTCTCAGCAGCAGCAGCAGCGGCAGCAGCAGCGGCAGCAGCAGCGGCAGCAGAGCAAAAATTGATGCTGATTACGAAATTTACAGTAACTTTACAAACACATACAGGCGCTCTCACGCATTACGCGTGTGTGTGCTTAGCTGTATTTGTGTGTGATTTTTGGCGTCGCGTGCTCTCTGGCTATGCCCTACTCTCTACAGCTGGCCAAAGGCTTGCGAAAGGCCGCGGGGGTTGGGGAGTTGGTTAACAGCATCCTCCTTGCGTTCGTCAATGTCAAAGGAGCGCGCAGGCTTTTGAGCATCTGGTAACGGTTGCTGTGCGCCAAAGAGCCGCAAAAACGCCCTCAACGTTGCGTATATGTATTATGGGCCAGCCTCTCTCGCGAAAGCCACGTGCCAATCCCATTTTAACGCTATTTTCGCTCTCTCTCTCTGTCTCTCTCTGACTCCACCCGTCTCTCTGCCCAACAGGCCGAGCTCAGATTTAACGTTGCCAGATGGTTTCAATGGATTACTGTTTATATCTTTCTAAATAACGAATCGAAGGACCTCGCAGCTAGTGCTCGTTAAAAATATATATTAAAGTTTGATTAAATACAAAATAAAATAAAAAATAATTATGCGCAAATAATATTCCCAATTATCTGTAAATCTAAGGCGACACTCGCTTGAGTTATATGACGAATGATTGCACTTGGGCAACAGGATGGCAGCACTGGCAGCCAATACGGCTATGCAAGGACCGACACTGCAAGAGAAACCGAGGGAGAGAAAAAGAGAGCACGTGAGAGCAGATGCTGCGCAGGTCAGAATAAACAGTAGAACTGCAGAGCTGCGTTGCCCTCGCTGAGGTCAGAGCTTCGTTGGGATCGGCTCGGCTTCGGTTCGGTTTGGCTTTCTGGAACGGCTGAAAAACCACGTGTTGATTTGTTTTGATTATGCGCATTTTGCCTTTGAAACTTTTTTAATTTAATCCTTTGTGGTATTGAGCCAGGGCGCGAGAACGGCTTGACAGGCGCGTCCACACGCCCCCTTTTTACTCCCTTTCCGACCAGCCCTTGGCTGTGGCTGCGCCCATTGGCGCAACATCGTCGTCATTGTCGAGGCTGCTGTGGCTTTTGGCTGCGACATTGGTTTTTGGTCTCGAACACGTTTTGCTAGGCTCAGGTCTCGGAATTGGACTTGGGCTTGGGCTTCCACTGCCTGCACAAATGTGGCCCCCGAGTGCGTCCTCTCAAAGAAATTTGATCAAGCAGCGAAAGGGACAAGCGATTAGGCCTGACTGTTGACATGTCTATGATAGATGCTGCCAGCGAGTCGAGTAGAGAGAGGGCGAGCGAGCGAGAGAGTGACAGAGCGAAAGAAGTTGAGAGCGAACTTTAGAGCAACATAACTCCCCTTCCTCCACCCAACGACTAACCCCTCTCCCCCTCCTCGCCCACTCACGACTCACAGCTTTGTAAATTTCGAACGAGTTCTTCCATGAAGAAGTTTCGCAGCCAAACCGAATTGTATATTTGATTGGGTTAATTGCTAGGGTATTTTAGCTGTCAAAATACCCAATGTGCTGCTCAAATTAAAGATCTTGTATCCTTCGGTAATACAATTCAATATAGGTCGAAAATATATGGATTCTTTTTGCTCCATTTTAAGTCTTAATTACTTTAATATTACATCAATAAATTTCTGGAATGATGGAATGGCACATTTGTTTTCGAAGCGAAGTTGGCTGCTCTTCTGATTAAGATCAAAAGGCGATTGATTCTATTTGACGGGAATGCATCAAAATAGATCAAAAAGCGATTGAATCTATCCGATAAACATGCTTCCTTTAAGTCTTCCTAATTCTAAGTTAGTTACACTTTATTATAGATAACATTAAGGAACGATGGAATGGCACATTTTCACTTGCAGTGAAAATGGCTGCGCTTCCGATTGAGATCGAAACGCGATTGATCTATTCAATATACATGCTTCCTTTAACCTAAAGCTAAGGAACTTTTACTTTTTTATAGAAAACATTAAGGAACGACGGAATGGAACATTTTGATTAGACGCGAAGTTGGCTGCGCTACTAATTGAGATCGAAAAGCGCTTAAATCTATTCATTTCATTTAACTTAATTATAACTTACTTCAACATCTTTATGGAAATCATTAAGGAACGACGTAAGTACACAATTTTGTTCGTAATATATACTCATTAAATATAAATACATGCTTTAAGTTCTTACTAATCGCGCATGAAATGCGCCAAACATACGCTCAGCAATTGCTTCAAAATTATCACTATACTAACTGGCTGCTAGTAGTAAGTGTGCGTGTGTGTATTTCTGTGTGTGTGTGTTTGTGTGTGTGTGTGTGTGTGTGTGTGCATAGCACATTCTGTTTGCCTTACGCAGATTGCTTGGCAGGCTGGCTGGAAGGCAGGATATGATAGTCACTGCCGACAAAATATGCCCATATCTTCTAAGCGCACTCACGCACACACAAACACACCCACCCACACGCCCTCACGCCCACACACACACACACACTCACACTAAGAGCAGGCATCGGCATCCTTATCATCATAGTTGGAGCGAAATTGGAAGCGCCTAAAAAACATTTTTTGGGCGTTATACCAGCTAGCATTTATTGTTGGCTTTTTGTATTTTGTAAATTTGGTTTTTCTGCTCGGGATGATGGAAAGGGGTGGGGGGGTAAAGATGCCAGTGCTGCCCATTAGGCGATTTTCTAGCCAAATGCGGCTCGTGCATTTAGCTTTTGTTTTTCGGCACTCAAATTAAGCTATTTTTTTTTGTCATGAAAATCAGTTAAATTTCTAAATAGTTGGCAGCTGGCTGTGGTGCTGAGAGTGCTGCCATTTACATATTTTCTAGCTCAGTGCGGCTTTTGCCAGCAATTTTTTTTGTCATGAAATTCAGCTAAATATGTAAGGAGCTAGCAGCTGGCAACTCTGGCGGCGGACGGCAACTCTGGTGAACAGGCTGCGTGTGGCCGAAACAACTGGCTTTTTATTTGAGGGCAACGGCTGGGCCATCGATTAAAGCAATTTTCCACATCATTGAATTGTGCTCAATTCAATATGTGGCTGAGAAGCAGGCTGAGTCGGAGTCGGAGTCGGAGTCGGAGTAGTTTGTAGCTGGCTTTCGGTTTTTGTTGGCATAAAATTTGCATAATTATCTGTGCGGCAACATAATTCCGTAAAGGTGCCGTCTCGCAATTGACCATTGCCCATTGCCAATTGTCGACTGGTCATTAAATATCGTTTATTTAATGTTTACAACGGCAAGAAACAGAAGTCCGTGTCCAGCGATACGTACGCATTCTTCTCGAATGCCCATTTAGGTAGCATATGCTGCCATTTAATGCATTTACAAGTTAATTAATTTTATTAATTAGACGACAATGCGCAAGCCAAGCAAGGCTTCCCTTCCACTCGGTTGACTGCAGCGACATGACGTATACGCCGCGTTTGGCCAAGCGCCAGAGATATCGCACTTGTCTGGCTAGATATACGTGTTTTGCAGGTAACACCTGTTCGATGTCATTTAATTGATAATTAGCGAAGCTCCTCATTAGTCTCCTCATTAGTCTAAGCCAATTATGTTTGATCCCATAAAGTATGCTATATGTATTTCTGATCAGGATGAATAGTTGCATTGATCTACTTTTTTTTCGTCTGTCCGTTTAAGGTATATATAGGTATATATGTATGCAACTCGAGTTTTTTGTTTCTTTTCGATAACCCTTCGACTTTCATAATAACGATCTATATCGATTTTGAGACTTGATTTGTTAAGGATAGCTTTTAACAGCCTGAATCCACTGAAAATGGGTTTAATGTATTTTTGAAAATGTATGTAACAGGCAAGCGTCATTATATCTAGAGGCCAATCTAATGAGTTTTGACCGAGTTATGGGGTTGGGAATTTTTTTTTTTTAATTCTATCATTAGCTCTGCGGTTTGAGTATGCTGATATTTAAATTTTTTAAATACAATAATTCAATTTTTTATTATTGCTTGATCGAATGCGCTCTTAGTGTTGGCAAAACAGGGTGTGGCTTATTCCCTAGTCGGGACTAACGCCTAGAGCCTCTTACTTGTTATATATTTCTGTACATATATTCTCTCATACTGTTTCGAGAGCTAGATATTGGGGATATCCATTTTTGTCTGTTTTTTTTTTCAATATTTTTCAATGTAATGCTTATCTTTTAGTTTCAATAATTTTTTTATCATATTTATTTGGATAAATATTGATTTTTAGCAAGATACATTTACCTTGTGTTGTGCATGCTCTCAAATAGTTTATTCAGTTACAAGTATTTCACTTTTTTGGCACCCCCGACCCTCCCGCCCACCTCTCCTAGTCGGATACTGCCCATTAGAGTCTTGAGAAGGTTGTTGTCAATGACAGAGTCTGATTAATATGCGATTTGGGCCAAATATATTTTGCGAAGAGCTCAATAAAATCCAGAGACACGAAAAAATCACTTCACAAGGCAGAGACAATTTTGAAGCTCAGCCCGGGCGGGGCGGGGCGGTGCAGGGCAATGAATTTTGGCATAAATCATAGGAGAGCGAGGGGAGGCGAGATGGAATCGGGCAGGAAACAGAGCAGACGAAAAAACATCGAGACAAGTTCACAATCGAACGGCAAAAATCCATTAATTCGTTTGGCTTTTTCCGCCAGCGGCTAAAGTAAATGAAAGCACGCCCCCTTCTCTACGCCCATCCCCCCGCACTCATCAGGCGCGTGTCATGTCGGAACATGTACGTGCCGAGTGATAAGCTGCGTCTGGGCAATGCTGGGTAGCCCGGGCAAAGCCGAGAAGCGTGCAAACGCATAATATGCAGATCAAACACATTTCACAGCTGCAGGCGTTGACAGCGCCAGCGAGCCCGATACAACGACAGCGCCAGTGACCGACTGTGAGTTACCCTGTAGCCATTGGCAAAGTCTTTGATCTGGTGCTGCGTGTCCTGCCTAAACACCAATCCTTGGGCAATTATCAGAGTGTGCGGAAATCTGCGTTTGATATTCGATCTGCAGTCTCTAGCTTTTTTGATTGTACAGATATATTTACATCATCGTCGAAAATCGATATTAATCGATTTATCGTATGGTTAAAGGTATCCAACGTGTGATATATTCTAGACCTCCGTTTGGTATTCGAGTAGCTACATTCCAAATTTACAGAGTCTAACTTTTGTAACCCGAGAAATGTTTTAAATACCATCGCAGTAAATCGATATTTATCGATGTTTAGCAGAGAATTTTAAACGTTCTTTTAAGGTAATTCAATATTTATCGATTTCTATAAACATTCTATTTTAGGGCTAAATGCAAAATACTTTGCCCTGCGTCTTCTTCTTTTGTAAAGTATTTTGTATTTTGTATATATAGCTATTTTGTATATATAGCAAGCTATCTTTACAACATCATCAGCAGAAAATCGATATTTATCTATTTCTATCAAACATTTCAATCGCTCTACTATAAATTAATTAATAAGTACCCTGCCATGTGTCCCTTTCTGCTAAGAAATTTTTTACAAGCGCAGCCTATGAGAATCTAGCCGCCTCTCTTCCTCCCTGTATACCCTCTCTTTCGTAAGTTACACGCCTGTTATACCCAACTTGAGCTCACGAAATGACTACAGGGTATTAGAGCATATACTTAAGTCGAGCAGAAAGCAAACTTAAAAGCAAAACGCGCAGCATTGGCTCAGACAATTAAGTGTAAGAGAGTGCGATGATCTCTCCAGCCCAGAGCACGCGACGGGGGTGGAAAACAATCACAGCCCCATTTATGTGAATGTATGTAGATGACACACACACACACACACATACACACGTGCACACACTCGCACATTAACATGAGATAGGTTGACGTATTTAAATTGAATACGTGGCGAGGAGGACTCTGCCAACTGGCATCGAGGCAGATGCAAATCGTGTTTATAGCAAATAACTAGTTTCATGTCACATTTGACACTGTTTAATCAACGTGCATGTGGGCAAAGGTGTGGCAGGATAGAGAGAAGGCAGGGGGAGTGGGGGGTGGGTGCTCGACGGCTTTCAATTGTTGCGACATTTCCATAGAACCACAAATGCTGCATACCCTTAGGCGCGCACAGCCCCAGCGACCAGTGTTGCGAAATGTTGCTAGGAAAGCAGCATTGCGGCTAGGCCCCTCTGAAAGCAGCCAAATTTAGTTAGAAAATGGCTGAAATAGCTCCGTTTGTGTGTCTGTGTGTGTGTGTGTGTGTGTGCGCACATATTGCTCGACTTGACTTGCGGGAATCGACAATAAAGCATCAGGAGGAAGGAAGGCAGCTTGTGCGTTTGACAACTACATTGACAGGACAGCGATTTCAATAAGGATACGAGAGGGATGGTGGGAAGGGGAGAGAGCGAGAGAGAGAGAGAGAGAGGGACGGAGGAGAAGTGTGTGAGAAGGGAGAAGACGCTGGAAAATGTTAAGCTCGCTAACAATCAAACGCACAACAAAGCAATACGAAAATGGAAAAGAATAATTGTTTGCGGGTAGCCGAAGATTAAATACCCTATAAAAGCTGAGCCAAACAAAGGTATTTGCATCATTAAATACCCTATAAATGAGCTACACAAGGGTATTACCCCATTATGCCCATTAAATGCAAGGATATTTACATAATTATATACCCTTTGTGTCGACCCAAACAAGGGTATTAACATCATTAAATACGCTATAAATATGTCGAGTCTCAACACGAATTAAAGCATATATTTTCCAAAGAAATATTTATAGTGTTGGGCAATCTGGGGGAAATGTTTAGTGTGATCGGCAATTTAGGGCCCTATTATACCTGGAAATGGCCCGTGATTTTCTGAAGGTTCCTGAGTTTTCGTAGTACACGAAAAGAATTGTGTGGAAGTTATAAAGCTGTGCAAAGCTCTCAATATATGTGCCCAGGCATATCGCATGAGTATACCTCTGTATAGTATTATTATGTATTTTCGCTAATTAATAAAGAAACGTGAAACACAGACGTAGACACATGTCTAGAGAGACAACTACCTTAAGGCAGCTGAAGATGTCTCATATCTCATGCCAAATCTATATGATACCCTGCTGCGAAGAGTATTTAAGAAAATAAACAACTGACGGCAAACGACGAGCTGACAGGTATCTGTGTGTGTGTGTCTGTAACGGGCAAGGACTTTAGCCAGTTTAAATGTCCCCGCCCCTGTCCCTGTCCCTGTCCCTTTCCATGTCGAACTGCTTGTCCGTGTCCATGTCTGACTAATGTTTGCCCAGCACGCATATGGCGGCTTTTTGGCTTACCGATGCTTCTCCCATTGCCTGGCCCGTTCGAGTGTTGGTTCAAGTGTTTGCTCGATATGGAGCAATTCATACGCACACACACGCACTTATTCTTGTTTTTCATCGTGCGAATTGAATTTGTAATTCCAATTCGTGTTTATTTAAGCCGCACTTGCGACTCGTCCGATCTGGCAGCACTGAACAATTTTAATACACTTGTTAAGTTGACTGCGCCTCATAGCAAAAAACCAATTGTGTGCCAGTGTTGCATAACACAGCATGTCACAGAGCAGAAATAAATAGGCAATAGGGAATCAAAGGCCCCTCTGGCACACTTGCGACTCGTGCAATCTAGCAACACTGACAAATTCCGATGCACTTCTTAAGTTGCGTCTCATAATAAAAAGCCAAGCATGCAATTAAATTGAAGGTCTGTCCATTATACCTTGAAAGTGTATATAACATATCCAACAAGTATGTCGATCTAAGCATGCTCCTCTGTCCATCCGATTGTCCATAGGTTGTCTTATGCAGGTTGTCATCATATAATTTGGGCAATACGTAGGTTGTATTTTATAGGTTGTCTTACGGTGGGGGGGTCACTTCCGACTGGGATTGGGGCAATCGGATTGCGGCTAAGATGAATTGTGGAAATGTGTTAAGTGTATTTCTTGGATTTATCGGATGTCGCCGTGCCTATTGTTTGCGAACAACTTTCGACAACAAAAGCGTGTGCTAATGATAACTGTCGGTTTATCTATCTATCTCTCTCTCTCTCTCAGCCCTAACAGCCCGCCCGCCCACACACGTGTTTAACAAGCGGCAGGGGGGAAACGATGAGGGCGAAAGCTTTGTTGTTCATTTTTTATGAGCGCCATTTGTCGTCCTTTTGCCTCACACACAGACAACCACACAGTTGTCTGAACTATGTGAAATTCCTTTGCTTTTTTTTCCTAGACTGTTCTGTAATTTTTCTTCTGCGGCCTGCTTGTAGTTATCCTTGTTCGTCCCGACCCAGGTCGCCAGTTTCTGTCGTCTTTTCTCGTCATTTCTCGTTTGATTTAATCACAATTCTGTCAAAGCACGTCAAAATGCCCACCGTCAGCCCCGCAAAGCTATCCATGCCGAGAGCCACAGGACATGGACCAAGTGCTTTCCGGAGCTGCAAACATTGTTGTTCTCTATACTTTGTTTACAGCGTACAAGCGGGTATATTGGCTGGCTGCCATATGCTTCTGTTCAACCGAAGGTTATTGTTTCTCTCATACCGAAAATCTGGGAGAAAGCTAGACGATTCTTTTCAGAATGCGCTCTGGAATCTCTTCGTTTACAAGACAGAATTCACAATTGGAAAGCTTTTGACTTGAGCATAACCTTATATTAATTTAAGTTTTACTTCAGTTTAAGTTAAGAGTTAATATTCACAAATTGATATTACGCTTTGAATCGTTCGATTTTATTACCTTCATTTTGACTTAAGCTTGACTTAGATTCAACTTCCATAAATTGATGACATTCCCCTTCGATTGCTTCGGTTTTATGACCCTCACCCATTAATCGAAAAGAAAGAAAGGGGCTTGTCCGATTCCCACATATATATTCCCGATCAGAATTCCGAGCTGTCCCTCTGCAGAGAAAAGTTTATAAGCCAAAATCTCCTCTTCTGCGAACAGAGTATCGCGCAGTCAGATGCAGCCGAATGCAAAAAAAAAAAGCTTGCCCTTAAACTGCATTTACTCGAAATTTTGATTCAATTCGTGGCGCGCACATCCTTCCGCTTCAAGCAGGATGCGAACCATGTTCAACAAATATGCCCCAAAAAAAAAAAGTAAAACATTTTGCCAGCGACAACTGAAGCCCAATTTGGCGAAGAGTATGACGCAATTTATTAACTAGATTTTTATAAACAAAAAAAAAGAGAAAAAGAGAAAAGCAAAATTCGAATGATATCATGAGGAGGCCCACGCACGCGAGTCTGGCCCAGCTCCGTCTTCAGACTAAACAGCCTTGACTTTGGCCTGCTTGGATTTGACTGCAAAATGGTTCGTGAGCTGCAGTTGATTTGATTCGTTTACCTTTTGGCTCACCTGTGATCAAAGCGTCCGCATCGCTGGGCGCCGGCGGCAGCTCGGCGAGGGGCGTGGCGCCGCTGGCCTCCGCCTGCTCCCGTTGGAGCACCTGTTTGCGCAGCTTGCGGAGGTAGGCCGCCTTGTAGGCATCGCTGGGCTTGCCGCCCAGCCCGTAGCTCACCTCCAGCACCGTCAAGGGAATAACAGTTGACGAAACGGCCACCAAATCTAGAAGGCGGGGCAGGTTAGACCAAATCCAAGTCCAAGTCCAAGTCTAATTCGAGTAGCAACTCACCCGGCTCGTATTTCTCCTCCGAGTTGCGCTTATATAATGTGGTCATGGGCGCGACGCCTGCGCAAACCAGGCCCAAGGCCAGCGCCAATGTTAGCCCAGTTGCCAGCCATGAACAAGCCCTCATTTTGAACGATCCAAAAAGTCGCTTTTCGTCTGCAGCTGTCGAGAACTGATCACGAACTAAGCGAACGAATCGCATCTGCTTGCGAATATTTGCGCGGGCGTCAGAGTTGACAATTTCCATCATAAAGACATTATACAGCACTACTGTGTTGTAAATGTCATTAACAATAATAAAAAACAAAATATTAAAAAGAAATCGAAAGATTAATTCGGCAAAAAACACGTTAGACCAGTATTGCTGTGCTGTGTTTGAAAAGCGCATGCAAAATAGGGGGCAGCATTTAAATTTGGTTTTGGCTTTTTGCGCGGGCGCTGACAGAGTTGACATTTACCGTCCGAAAAACATTACACAGTACAGTCGTATTAAAATGTCTTTATTGAGAATTAACTAAAAAAAATTTACTAAATTTCAACAACTGAGCTGCCAAAAACACGTTAAACGAGGATTGCAATGCTGCGTTTAATAAGCGCATGCAAAATAGGGGGCAGCATTTAAAGTTTGCTTTGCCGCCACGCCCAAATAACGTCATCATTGACATTTTCCGTAACAAAAATATTACACAGAAGAGCTGTATTAAAATGCCACAATTAATAATTAGAATCACATTTTGTTTAATTACTAAATATCAACAATTAGATCGACAAAGCACGTTAAGCCAGTATTGCAGTGCTGCGTTTAAAAAACGAATTCAAAATAGCTGGTTATTTTGCAGCAATCAGACTTTGTCACGCTGCGCGCATTACAAGGCATGCTGCCCGTGTTGCGTGCACAAATATCGATGTGTAGTTAGGCGAATTGAGTTAGGAATAAGCTGAGCTATCGTATACACATACCGTATCACACCATAATGTATCGATTAGTTATCGCTGGGCCACCACAATCAATCGGTATTTGGCTGTGTTTTGTTTTTTAATGTTCATTGAGAAAATAATTTGCCATCATCAAATGCAAATGGAACGGTGACATAAATGAGTTGCACAAACCAAAACGTGGCTGTATAGACGAACGCGTGCCGAGTGTAGCTGAACACAGTAGAATAGTGTGTAGAAATTACAGCAAATTACAACCGCAACAAAGACCCTCGGCCAGGAAAGCATGAGCTGAAACTGGACAAGCACATGAACGCACACACACACACATACAGAAAGACAGCGAGACACACAAAAAGATAATTTCAAGGCAACGCTGTGCAACGCAGGGGCAAGAAACTTTAAATAAGGTGACAATTTCGACGGTGACAAAGACAATAACGACGTGTGCAGGAAAACTAATTGCTCTGCCCTCCCAACGTCCGCGTGCTGATTGGCACTTTACTTGCTGGATCCAGCGGAGTCACGTGTATGTATGTGTATGCGTGTGCCTGTATGCACATGCATGTTTGTATGTGTTGTATGCTAACTCGAAATTGCAAGCAAGCAATGCTACAACAACAACAACAACAAAATTAACAGTTACAATAACGGAAGCATTGTCAAGCCTTGCCAGACCCAGCCGCGCAGCAGCAGCATCAGCATCACGGCGTCTCAGCAGCAGCAGGCGCACACACACCAACACAACAACAACAACTACAACAACTACAGTAACAACAACAACAATATGAGCACAGTGTTTATAAACTCACGCAAGAGCCCAAATGTGCTTAAGAAACAGGGCACAGACCAATGGGTCAAGCTGAATGTGGGTGGGACCTATTTTCTAACCACCAAAACGACGCTTTCCCGTGACCCCAATTCGTTTTTGTCGCGTCTTATACAAGAGGACTGTGATTTGATATCAGATCGGGTGAGTTTCACACACACACACACACACACATATATATATATATATATATATATGTATATATAAATGTGCATGTTTTGCATGTGTATTTATTTATTTAATTACACATGCAAATGTAAATGCGCGTATATTTAGGCATATAGTAAACACTCCTTTAAGCGAACATTTGACAATTCTTTGTTCGCTTTACAAATAATCAAAGAATGCACAAAAAATATATACAGACAAAAATTATTGTTATATTTTTGTTAAATTTATTATTGTTGAACAAATTTATAGAACTTTATTTAAAAGGGTGTACCATTATTTTAGTTTTTTATTTTTTATTTCCATGCAATTTCTATATATATATATGTATATATATAACAACAAATCGCACTGGCAAAGATTGACAAATTAACGTCTTTATATTTTATTCTTAATCTTAATCTATCAGCTTTAACGGCCCTCATATATTTGTTTATCAATAGTTTAAAATTTTTGTGGAATGCTTAAACGTATTTATAGAGGGCATAGCCAGTGCTGCCAGCTTCCGCTTAAAAAAAGTAGCTGAATCCGATCTAAAAAGGAGCTAAAAATAGCCTAATAGCACTAAACAGGGTTGTTATTGCTTGTCATTGACAAAAAAAAACTCAATCAGTTAAAATTTACAACTGTTTCCGGCTGTTAACTTGTGAGCGCGCCCAAATTTAGCTAGTAAATAGCTAAAATGGCAATATAAAGCTAAATCAGTTACAATTTACAACTATTTCCGGCTATTAACATGTGAGCGCGGCCAAATGTAGCAAGTAAATAGCTAAAATGGCAACCTTGTTCATAGCTGCCAGCTATGTGAATAGTCATAAACCTAACACCAAGAATTGCCAGCCCATGACTGCACACACACACACACACACCCACTCACACTGGAAAACACACACAGTCTCTGCCCATGCAGGTAATTTCACGAACAATTACAAGAAGAATAACAGGGACTGCAGCAGCCAGGGTTGTCAGTGCAGAGTTAAATTGGGAAATATTCGTGAAACGACGCATTTAATAAAAAGGAAATTTGAGAAATTTCAAACAGCGTAAATAAATAAAGGGAAATTTAGCATAATATTCAACAGCTCGGAGCTCGTATAAAGCTTGTTTCTGATTACTTTAAACGTCAAGTTCGTCTGTCTGTTTCTCGATTAAAAGCTTTATGCTTAGGTCCATTAATCGGAGCACTTTATCATATAGAAATCTTAATCAAAGCCTTACCATACTCGTTAGCAGTATCATAGCCATATCTTATCGATATCAGACGGTTATATCAAAGGAAGAATCGGTTGAAACAAGAGTTTTTCTATGGAAAATTGTTCTGCTTTTTGGTAACTTTACCAAACTCCGCAATTGATCTTCACATATCTGCTAAGGCGTATCCCCCCGTCTAAAATAATCCAGCTTTAGTTAATCTATCTTCTTTTTAGGCTTAGTCCTTAGCGGCCTGATTGTCGTTAAAGGGTAGCGGGAGGGGGAAGGGTATTGCCTTGGAGAACAATAACAAAGAAAACGTCATTTTTCTATAGCGCAATAAATTTGGCCAAGTTTTAGCCATCATAAATATATATGTATCTAACATACACACAAATATGTATTTGCCAATTTCCATTGGCCGAGTTTATAAACAAAAGGCGAACCGAACCGAACCGAACCGTACCGAAAGAATGCCCATTATAAAATTGCAAATGTTGTTGCCTTTTCCGAATTCCCGATTGTCGATTGCACAAATATATTACAATAAAAAAAGTTGTGCATGTTTGTTATTCTTTAAATGTTTGATTGTTTTACTTGCTGTGCGCCCGCTTTTGTTATTGATTAAATTCATGCGGCCCTCCCCTCCCCTCTCGCCTCTAGCAACTCATGCCAAGGCAGCCCGCCAATTAAAGCACCCACATATATACCCTGTTTATATATATATATATATATATATATATATATATATATATTTATGCACTCGGCATATATAAAGGCCGCCTGGCACCTAGATGAATGAATGAATGGTTGATGGGAGCGTGAGACTGCGCCTGCTTTAGTTAAATTGTTCTCAAATTGTTGTAAAACCCAAAAAAAAATTAGCAAGAGTGCTCTGGCCGACTGTAAGATACCCCACGAGCTGTCGTAGCACAATTTTCAGTTTTCTTCTTTCATTCTTCGTTCAATTTCGGACTGGAATCTGGATCAGTACTCCACATGCCAGAATTCCGGCTTCTACCTCTTAAAACTTGCGAGTTATACCAAAAAAACTATGTCTCAAAATCAACTTTATTGAATGCACAAAATATTAGGGTACGGCCTTTTTTTTTATGAAACTACATTAGAAGTTTCAAGACGAACTTGGCCAGATTGGCTCAGGTCTTCGAGAAGACCCCTTCAATGGTGGGTACCGATTCCGATTCCGATTGTCTAATATTATAGCTAATAATTTGCTAGCTTATTCAGATATATTTCTGAATGGAAACACTACCCGAAAGCTTCTATTAAGGTATATGGCGTAATGATGCCTATCTATGCCAAGTTTTGACAAGATCTGGACCAAAAATTTATACATACCTTGTATTACCTAGTTTTGCCGGCTCATCTTTTATCTTTATACCATGTATTAATCGGGACACATAATTTGATAATTATAAAGAACCAGTTGTCTCTCTTAATGTTACGTACATGCTTACAAAATGGCCAAACACCTGCTGCAAAGGGTATTAAGACCGAAAGTCATATAGTCAAGAACTGGCGGACAGGTCTTGAGTACATCATTTAGCATAATAAAAGAGTACACAATAGGAATATGCGCACAGAGAAATGTCATTACTGTAGAATGCAACTCACACGCACATACTTATATATGGATATATATATAATGCATGGCCCACCACGTAGGAAAAAAAAACAACATTTCGTTTGTCTGCCACAAATCCCCCCTAGGCCGGGTAGAGGCATTGACTGAATGGTTGGCTGCCTCGAAACTGAAACTGACACATTTCCAATAAGAACTGCACCTCCACACACACAGAGAGGGAGAGAGAGAGAGAGACACGCCCATCCACGCCCATTCGCCCTCTATAAGCACTAGACACATGTTTTGTCAGCGTCATGACTAATTGGTTTCCTTTTTCCCGCTGCCTGACTTGATTTGCATTTGCATTCGGATTTGGATTTGCATTTAGGATGAGACGGGCGCATACTTAATTGACAGAGATCCCAAGTACTTTGCGCCCGTGCTCAATTATCTGCGCCACGGCAAGCTTGTGCTGGACGGCGTCTCCGAGGAGGGTGTGCTCGAGGAGGCCGAATTCTACAATGTGACGCAGCTAATAGCGCAGCTGAAGGAGTGCATAAGCCACAGAGACCAGGTGAGTCCGAATCGAATATGCACAGCGCAACTTAATTTTGATTTATATTCTCGGCCAACGCAGCGACCGCATGCGGACAAAAAGCGCGTCTATCGTGTGCTGCAGTGCCGCGAACAGGAACTGACGCAGGTAATGCCCTTAGCTCGAGCAGTGCATGAATAAATTCATTTGCATCAAGCACGGTAACCCACCCAATCCAATCGATAAAACCGAAAATAGACTGAGGTTTGAATAGACGATTGAATGAATCAGAGTCTCAAGTCTGAAGTATTTGCCTTAACTGTTGGCCACGTACTATAACATGTCTTTATCTTTTTCAGATGATTTCAACGCTGTCGGATGGCTGGCGTTTCGAGCAGCTTATCAGCGTCGGCATGCAATACTCTAACTATGGCCCGTTCGAGAACAACGAGTTCCTCTGCGTCGTGTCCAAGGAGTGCGGCTCCACAGCCGGCCGTGAGCTGGAACTCAATGATCGCGCCAAGGTGCTGCAGCAGAAGGGATCGCGAATGTAAGCAAAACGGCAACAGGGCATCGAGCGACAGGCCAAATACCGTATCAGTCCACAGTCCCCTTCAAATACACCTTCTACACACTCCCTCTTCCAAACCCAATCAGGCCATTTGGCCTGACATTGCCCAATTACGAACTCGTTAGCAGCTGATAAGCTGATAAAGAGTCCGGCTATCTGTTTCCGTTTTGTTATTGTTTTCTAATTGGACTCGAAAGCTTGACATTTTTTCGCATCAAAATGCCCCACCGAAAAACCAGAACAGATTTTGGCAATCAAATGCATCTAAACGCCAGAAAAGAAGCTGAATTAAAGAAAAAAAAAATAAATAAAAGCGCACATTAGTTATTATCCAACTAGGACAAAATATTTATCAATTAGATCTAAGCGTACATTCAAAATGTCAACTGCTTCTGCTCTTAGCATTGGCTAAAAACTATTTTCAATATTTACCATACACACCATACACACACACTCATTCACTGACACACACACACCGACAAGACCCAAAACGTTTTTGTGAATGTAGCTTAAGGTTTGGTTAGTATTTACACACACACTCACACATGCACACACACACATTAATTAGATACGTATAAGTTATCCTGTTTATTGTTTCGAGTACCTAATAATTGAAGCCGACCTTTTTCTCTCTTTCTTTCTCTTTCTCTCTCTCTGTTTAATTGCAGTCTTGGAATTTAAGCAATGCTTATAGAGCGTGTGTATGCCATCCAAAAACAAAAACAAAAAGTAACTCCCATCATCCAACACCAAGCTTAAATAATACACCACAACCAAGCACAACATCATGAACAACAAAAACAACAAGCAAACGAAAACAAACAAAAATAAAATTAAACAAAAAAATATAACCAAAATCATAAAACAAAAACCAACAAAACAGCAAAAACAGCTAAATCTGAGCAGGGATCCATTTTTTGGCAGAGCTGCATTCAATTGGAAAATATGCCAGGAGTCATTCTGTTATAAATTTAAATCAATCAATCAATCACTCAATCACCATTCATTAAGCCGTATGTATGTTTTAATATTTACTTTGAAGGAAATGAAACTAGAAATAGGAAACATTTATTTTGTAAAACAGAGCAAAAACAGGAGCAGCGGTAGATTTAATTTTTCTTTAACACATTTTCCATTCATTGACTATTTATTATTAATATTTTTTTTACTACATTCGATAAATTCTGAAATATGACAAGTTTAACTCGTCCGTCTGATTCACAGATCCAGCAGTCAATCAGTTCTGAATTGAAACACGTCAATCAATCAGTCTGCAATCAATAATTCCCTGAGTGTAAGTTATTCATAATTGGCATGAAACATGCTTAGCATCAATCAACCTAACTCTTATGTAGATTCAGTCAGTTAATCAGTTACGAAGTTGAGCACTTAAATCAATCAATCGGCAATAATTAGCCCTTATGTGTGTTATTTATTTTCACTTTGAAGGAAACATTTTGGTAACATTCTCTCTTCTGAGAATTAAGAAAATATGATGTAGCCTTTATTGATTGATTGCTTTTTGTAAATTTTTGTAAATTTCGATTGATTAACTTTTTAAACATGACATTACATCATTCGTTTCCATCTGCTACTGAGATACAGGTAGATCCCGTAAGTCAATCAATCAGTCATGAAGTTGAGCACCTAAATCAATCAATCGGTTATCATTAACCCTTATGTATGCTATTTATATTCACTTTGCAAGAAACTTGGAAATATTTTTCTTATAATTAAGAAGGGGGATTAAAAAAACAGATAAGAGTAATGGCATTTTTTTGATCAGTTAGCTCCCAAGCTTAAAGAGTTTTTTTCTTTGCTTAGTTTTATTGATTTTTTTTTCGAACGCTGAATATGACAATGTTAAACATTTCTGTGTGTGTGCCTGCGTGTGCGTGTATGTGTGAGTGCGGGGTATTGTGTGTGAATGTGCTTTGATTTTCTCGCCAGGTTTAGTGAGTGATTGGAAAATCTTGGAAAACTCGCCTCGGGGAGACAGAGCGCTCTTCAAACGACGCATACCGAACACTAGATACCTTTTTTTTTCCTTGAGAGTAGTCGACTAATTTGGCTTCCCTTCTGCCTTCCGCATTTGAAGAGTGCATTAATACGCTTAATAGTTGAATCGAAATTGAAAACAAAAACAAATACAAAAAAAAGCTAAAGAAAAAGCACAAGCAAGCACAAAGAAAACACCGCCAACATTGCTTAGCTTAAATATTAAATAAGTAAACTATAAAACCATAAATATATAATTAATATGATATGCTGAGAAAGAAACAGAACAGAAATAGAAACAGAGATGCAAAAACCAGGATTTAGCTAAACACTAACTAACTACGTAGTTGCTTAATAGCAGAGCGAAGACATGCATTAACACCAATTCGAATGCAATGATATATGAAATAGAAGAGTACAGAATACAAAAAAAAAAAAAAAAATTAACAATATTAACAATTTAAGGATAAAACGTGACGAAACGTTTCCAATTTGTACTTTTAGCTATTTAGCTGTTTTTATTGGGCTTACAATATATATATATATATATGTATATATATATATATCTATAAACAACAACAATAACAATTGATGAGGTGATGAGGACCTTATGGCGAAAAGTGCGCTCATTTCTGCAAACTAAAGAAAATGATTAAATGTATACAAAAAAAAAAAAAACATGATATACATATATATTGAAATACTAGTACATCATCATAGGGATTCTAGTATGAACGGGCGTTCATTTCGATTGCGATTCTAAATGTATTTTCAAAATGCTAATAACTAAATTCCTAAACTACTAAAACAGGCTCTCGCTCATTAATAATAATCAATTGGTGTTTTATGCCCTAAACCCATTGAATACGGTTAAATCGAACTGAAGAAGGGTTCATATATGTGCCCATATATATATGTATATATAAATATATATATATATATATATATATATATATATTCCTGCTCAGCCCAGTCGTTATAGCCATGTCCGTCTGTCCGTCCGTCCGTATACATGAACAGCTATTAAACTAAAAGAACTTGGTCAAAATCGAAAAAAACCCTTGTTCTGAGATGCGTAGACTCGTTTAGATCAGGAATATTTATCTTTAGCGGACATTTTCGCCCTGTTTCCACACAAATATCAATGCAATATTCATGCACTGAGAAATTCATAAAGCTCTGACAATAAACACGGGCTGGTATTCAAGAGATTTTTGCCTAAGGGGAAAAAAAAACAAGAAGATGAGAAGAAAAACTAAATAGAGGACTTTTATTTCGGGACTTATAGTATAAAGAGAACATCTCCTTTAAAATTCAATTGAAATAATAAACTGATTCGACGAATCCCAGTATTATTATAATGCCATTGCTGGCCGGCCCTGTCCGACTAGTAGATACTCCCTAACCTTCTATAACTATATACCCTAGTCTTTCACTATGGTAAATGCTTTCTACAATAACTGAGCTATTTGTTGTCCGATCTTTATTAAACTTTCAAGGATTAAATATAGCGTACAAAAGTGTCCATATACCCAGGCCCAAGACCAGGTCAATATATTCGATCATTTTATTTCCATTTTTGCTTGATACAGGGAAAGTTAGCCAAACAGAAAAATTTGCTGGATCTGCAGTTCTTAAAGTTTTCGAGCCGTGCACTAAACCAGTTGTGAGCCACTTTCTTTGGGTTAAGGGTAAAAAGGAGAAAAAAATCCCAATAAAATTTTAACAACTCTGTTGGCATTTATCTATATTGAGAATCGGCGAGAAGGCCAATTGGTGTTCATACTTTATTTGTAAGCAAGTTACTTTCTTAAAACAATATGTTCGAGCTGCATTTACATACCGTGTGTCTGATATATGTATGCATACATATATAGATATATATATATATATACATATATAAATATATTTATATATATAGATATATAGATCGAACGCAGCCTTGTTGTGTGTAGCGCCCGGTTTGCATTATAACCTTGAGCTTTATTTAACTAGCAAAAGCAAAGGCAAAAACAAAAAACAACAAAAAACCATTTTAAATCACGACTGAATTTATGTGAACTTGCACTAAAACAAAATCAACTAAATAGAAATCAAGAAATATGAAACATGAAAAAAAAAAACAATACGGCGACGTTTATTAGATATACGCATTATTAATGATACTTATGTATGTATATAATTTTAAAGTAAACTAATTTATACACTAAAAAAAGAAGAGAAGAAAAGAAGAAGAAGAGAACAAAGAAGAGAGAACGTCGCCACCTACTCGTACCCATTTTTGTATCCATTTTGAATTATTTTATGTGCATCTAAATGCAAGTTAGAATAATGCTTACAATTATTTGGTAGAAGCCCAAGCTGAAGCCAGAGCATATATATATATATGGAACACCTTTACATTAGCTTGTAATGTGTAAAAAACCACAAGGAAATCAAAAATGAAAATCCAAAACTAAATGCAATAATACGCGACATGTTCTATAGCAATACGGCAGATGTCACACATATATAGTTGTGGGTGTGGCATCTGCGACAAAATTCATCCAAAAATATATATGAATTATATTAATAATCAATTTATGTAAACCCCGATTACTCACGACGGCTGCGAGCTCCGTTTAAGCCCAACTATCTGTCACTTATTTACAAGTGAAAAATGGTTGGTGGAAAAACGTTTGGAAGGCGAGTGAAAACTCGTAGAAAACTCAAAAGCCACATATACACATGTGTACATTCTCACATACGCGAGTATTTGATTACTTTCCCACAATACTTATACATATATAAATCTAATGTAAAGCCACACGGGGCAAGCTTCACTGTGCTTGCAACTAACTATAATCAACTGAAAAATCTGGAAGTATCTCTGCTCTCGCAGAGACAATATTTAAATAAATTAATGATCCCTTTTCTAAAAAAGCAACGTTTTGATCGTGTTTTAACTATTTTTAAATAATTAAATAATGATAATTAAAGTAAATAATACATATGGATAAATAATATCGTAGACAAGTCAACATTTATCGAGTTTCTTTGACCCACAACATAAACCATTTTGCTTTATTATAAATCAAATTTAAAGCTTTTATCTTTTTTTTAATTAAAATTTTTTTAATTTTACTAATGCTTTAACTTGCAATCGATAAAAAAAAAATACATTTAAAAGTAGCAAGCCTGAATATTGTTATATAAAATGATTATATAAACAACAAAAGAAACCCTTTTAACAAATTTGATTTCGCCATTTGAACAAAAATTTGGATAAAGTTTTGGCAAGCTTGTGAAATTTTTCAAGTTTACTAAAAGCATTTTATTTACAGGTTTCTGTAATTGCTTAAGTATTTAGTATAGATTTAAGTAAAGCTTTGACAGACGTGAAGAAAGGTTTTGACAGTTTAATGAAAAGCTTCGTACTAAAAGCCAGGAAAGTAGAGATTTAAGGGTTGAAATTAAGAATACATGTTTTGAAAGGGCGTGGCCTTATGTAGGGCTTTGCTTGTAAAGCTTTAAGCTTATTATATAGAGTCAAAGCTTTAACTGTAAATAGCAAGTCCTTACACCAATAAAGCTGCTTGTGGACAAAAAGCACATACCTGGAAAAAGCTTTCTTATTAAGCAAGGACCAACAAATTTGTGAAGGGCCCAATCTTCGACCCAACAAATAGTGTATATATTCTTTAATTAATTTTTAAACTTAATTGAATTTATTTATCTTCAGCTTCCTATAGTATACGCTTATCTTTTTCTTATGTTTGATTTAAGCTCTTAATATTTTTTATAAGTATAGAAATATTCCGTACACCCTCTATATATCTTAGTGGGTATTATGTTAAGGCTTAAAATAGCTCTTAATCATATATTCCAAGTCGTATCTATATATATATCTTTAAATATATAGATATAAGTACACTGCTTACATGAGGTAAGTTAACGACGTGGTTTTGGTGAACTGCATTGTAAAATATTGTGAAAATTTATGGAAAATGCTTGTATGAAAACTTTTTTGATTATCATAATTTCGGTCTCTAATTCGTATTCAATGATCTTTTTGAGTATCAATTTTAGACGTGGTTTACACTTTTAACAAAATCTCCAAAGAAGGGTAATTATCGACAAATTGGTTTTGGTTTTCTATTCGATTGGATTAATATCAATTCGAACATACATATCTATGTAAAATCCCATTTTACTCTTGCAGAGCGTATTTTTATTTGGTCTCGAAATGTGTAACGCAAAGAAGGAGACATCTTCGATCCCATATAGTATATATATACTTGATAAGGTACAACGACTAGGTCGATATAGCCATGTCTGTCTGTCTGTTTCTATGCGCACTAGTCTCATGAGAGAGTCATAACACTTTTCCGAAGTCCCTCTTTCTGCTGTTTGCAGTACATATGTCGGTTACGGCTGCATCGGACAACTATATCACAACAGACATAAAAACGATCGGTCTGAGTATAGATTCTTGAATGAAAAACGATTTTGTTTATTAAGATATCTCGACCAAACTCGACATTAACTATTTTCTCTGTGCTTCTTAGAAACAAGAAAAGAAGAGAAAGCAGAAAAAAGATAAGGTTGGATCTGCTAGGGTATTAAATCTTCGGGGTGCCGAAGATAGCCCTTATTTTTTGTTTTTCAACTAGACGCGAACCTTGAAAAGGGCAAATCTGGGTAATATCGATTAGTATATGTATAAACCTAGTCTGTGTTTAACCAACTAATCCGCTGGAGGTTTAATTCATAGCAAATTCTAGGCCCAAACCTGGTCGGTGTCAAACCGACTTTCTATACATGAATACATGAATAGATTTCGATTCGGTTTAAAAAGTAAATTCTTATCCATCACGACTTGTTTTTTCATTTTGTTGTTCCAGATTGTGAATAAATCTAAATCGATTTTAAATCGATATCAAATTGTTTTGAAAACAGATCAGTTAAATTTGGATGGATTCTGGTAAGCAATTTTTTACTGTTACTCTTTCAAAAAGACATCATTTAATAACATGAATAAGCTTCAGTGAAAGGGTAAAAAATTTAAATATTAAATTATTTAAATTAAAAAAAAATTTAATTATTAGAAAAATATTTTCTTAGATATTTCCAAATTAATTTTTAGTTCGAAAACTAAAGGATAAAATGCTTGAGTATGATAAAATATAATCAGGTAGGGAATAAAGATCTCCCAGGCATACCGACGAGTTAGTTAGTTTAGTAAGTGACTGTGACTAAGGCTTTCAAATTGAATAAAGGCACGCATTTGGCTGCGTTGCAGAAACAATTGAATGTTAAGTCTAGCAGCAATGCTTGAGTGCGTCCTGCACGTTGCCTTATTTTTACCAGCTGGATATGCGTCAGAGTGACGCGGAGTGGGAAGGGGGATGGGGGGGTTGGCGGCAAATATTGATTAGAATTTGCGCAATTGCGAACTTATGCAAAGTAAAAAGAAATGTTCAGTTGCGTGAGCTCCTGAGCTCATGAGATATTCATAGGCAAATGCACACGGCACAGCTACCTCTCCCTCTCTCTCTATCTCTCTCTCTCTCTCTCTGTATATATGTGTGTGTGTGTGTGTGTGTGTTTGCGTGCGTGCGTGCGCGAGTGTGTGTGCGTGTGTGTGACTGACTCTCAGCTGGTGTCGAGGACACTTTTAGATCTGCAGCCTACACTGAAGACATGCCTCCCGCCCAGCTTCAGTTGCAGCCTCCGCCCCATTTCCCGCTCTTCTCGACTGCGACGTAGGCAGCGACAGAGGGGGCGGCAGCAAGGGCTTTGGCACGTTGCGAAATGTTATTTCTGACTATTATTTGGCTGGCAACAGCAGATTCATGCACGCATATCGATATGGCCACATTAAAATTTAACTGCGCCAGCAACCCCAGCGCGACAGCCTCTTGTTGCCTCATTGCCTCATGCCACATGCCACATGCCGCATGCTCCATGCCTCGTGCTGCTTTTGCCACCACTAAAACGCAGGCCGTGGCCAAAACACGTGCACATTTATATTTATTCTAAACAAAGGAATAAAAAGTTGTGTCGCCGCGCGCACATGAGGCCCGAAAAGAAACTGTTGGCCAGTAAACGACAGCCAAAGTTTTTATTTCAGATGCTCTGTAACCAGGATCAGTAAAAGGCATGATGTAGTTGTGAATAGGCTTGCGACAGGTTAGAAGAAAGCCGAGTAAAGCTAGACGTTGGCGTTGCCCAGTTGTCTGTCCCACCTCGAGGAAATAAAAATATGTGCATAGACAATTAATTTAAAAACATAGGATGTACAACAAAATGAACTTTTCTAAATTTATTTTTATATAGTTGTACCCATAAAAAGTATTAAAAAACAAAAGTATCTAATCATAATATTTATACAAAAAAAAACAAGTAAGAGGTTCTAGTCGGGAGCTTCCGACTAGGAGATACCCTGAACCCTCTTCTTCCAACATCAAATGGATATATATATTCTATTTTAGAAGCTATATGTCAAGTTTGGTGACTCTAGCTTTTATCATTTACCAAAATTGCCCAAAACACCGGATATCGATATCGATTTGTATCGATTGCTTGGAAACGGAGAAAGATATCGATTATCGGAAACAAACTCGATCTGCGTAGGCACTACGTGCACCTACATCTAAAATTTCTTAGTAAAGAAATTTGACTAGTCGAATTTAAAGAGCTGGAAATACATAGCATGACATTTCCCAGATGGAGTCATGAATTTGAGTTCAGTTTCTAGAAATTTGGGTTTTAGAAACAAACTTGAACTTAAGCAAGAATTGCTGTCTTTGACCTTGGCCAGATTTCTGTCTTCGACCTCGGTCACACTTTCATAGGTTGTCTTTTGACTGGTTCTCCTCCTGCTTTTCTCCTCCGAGCACTCGGAAGCGCTGTCTTTTAGAGGGCATCTCTTGGTGCGGCAACAATCGACTAGAGTCCAAGTACTTTTTATTGGAAGCGCGTCCTACCGTTAAGGACATTAGTGCGTTTGGGTTCCATTCGAAGGTTTTACAAGGTTTCACGCTGGCGCTGAGCCTGGCCCGCTCAGGTCCTTTGGGGCTGCCGGCTCGTAAAGCGCAGCACGCAACACGAGCCTAAGCTAAATTTCATTGGTTCTTATGCTAACGATGACGAACACCTGCCCGTGAAGCCCAATCCCATTCCCAAAGCCAATCCCAATCGAAATCCCTTTTTTCTCGAGCTGCTTTCACTTTTCGCGCCCGCCAAGAAGCGTCGCTAGTCGAACTGGGGTTGCAGCTCAAGTGGATGCCCCTGCATCGATGCCACTTGAAGTCATCTTTGCACCTTCTACGCTGCACTCGACGCCAACTGCGACGTCGGCCGCGACTGTAACTGCGACAGCGACTGAGACATTGGCATTCGCATTGGCAACCACCCCGTTGGGTTGGCTGTAATGCGACGCCTCCCGTTCGTCCTTCAGCCCCAGAAACGACCCCAAAAAGTGCAAGACGTGCCAAGCGTTGGCTGCACCACCAACCATGCAACACACAGCCGCACACACACCCGCACGCACACCCGTACACACACCCATACACACACCCGTACACACACACACACACCCACTTTAACTTTTGAATAGTGCAAAAAGTGCACTCAAGCAGCAGCCATCGTGTGGAAAGTGTGTGTGTGTGTGTGTGTGTGTGTGTGGGGGGGGGGGGGGGAGGGCACGTTCATATTGAGCGACATTCATATGGCAGCCACCACCGTGTTTCACTTTCGTTACAGCCGAGACTCACTTTTGCACCTGCCACTGGCGGGGGTTGATGCTGCAACTAAACCGGGGGCAAGCAGCAAAAGCAGCGGCAGCAGCTATGATTCTATGTCAACATGACAAGAGGCAGCGACAACGCGTCGCAGTCGACATTCTAATGCATGCAGCATGCGGCATGCAGCATGTGGCACGCTGCACTGGTGGGTGGTCGACTTGAAAGGGTTCAAAACTAGGGTTGCGCCTTGGGGTAGGGGCAGGGGCTAGACAAGCGTCTGGCTTCGTTTTGTCTCCTGGCTGTCTACTGCATCTAACTGTGCAAAAACGTACACTGAGAACATTTTCTCAACGAATCTAACTAGAATTAAGAAACAGGCTTAAACCGAAACAATTTTCAAAACTATTCACAATTTGCTTACTAAGCGGAGGGAAATTCTGTAGTGTATGCATTTAAATACTAGAATATATTTCCAATTAATCAGAATTTTTTCTTTAGTGGAAAGAAATTCTAATGTAGAAAGTTTATGCATGTAAATAATAGAATATATTTTCTATTAATCAGAATTATTTATGAAGTAAGCAGAAAGACAATTTTTGCAAAAAAATATTTTTATTTAAAACGGTTTATCCAGATTGACAGACTGACTGATTGACTGACTGCCCAAACCTTAGGAGAAGAGGAAGCTTCTATTTTCACTCTACTTACCTTATGTGATGTAGGTGCACATTAAGTCGGGATTTCGGCTATAAATCAACCCGCAAGTGTGGAATAGTCTCGAAAAACGTTTGAATGAACCTTATTTTTTTTACCATTCGATCGGCCCCAAAGTTTATTTGTTGGCTTCTAGATTCTCAGCACAAGACTAACTAAAATCTGGTTTATTATTCGATGCACTATTTTTTTTTTTAATGGACAATGATGTGGAGATGGTTCGGTTAGGTTTCAGTTTTCCACATTCAAGGAAAGTCTTAGCAGCAAACTTTTCACGGGCAGCGCCGGGCAATACACGCTAGTTTTTTTTTATAAATATGAGAAAAATCGTTCGAATATTTTCAGATAGTTTTTCATGGCGATTTTCTTATTTCTAAGCTACAATTTGTCTGAGTGTAGCTTTGCTTCTTGTCTATGTGTGCGAGTGTGTCTGTGTGTGTGTGTGTGTGTGTGTGTGTGTGTGTGTGTGTATGTGAGTGGGCTTTTGTGCAACTCAAGTGCATGTCGCCATCGCCGTGTTAAGTGCGTCAAGCAAAGCCATGGCTCTTGGATGTTGCCTGCCATCTGCTGTGCCCCCCTCCATCCCAGCTGTTGTTTGAGGGGGACGTGTTGCGTGATTTCTGTACAATTTAACCCTATTTTCGTGGCATGCAACTAAGCAGAAGACACCGCTATTGCTTTCACTGTTGACGCACACATCCTGCCAATTCTGTGACGGGCTCTGCCCCTCGACCAGCTCTTGCATCAAGATTAGGCCCAGAACTAATACTCTGTCGCTCCCCCCCACCCATTACCACGCCCATTACGCTCACTATGCTCTTTTAATTGCAACTCGTAAATGGAAACCTGCCCCTGCCACCCTCCTTGGCGTTAGGGTATTATGTGTCTCGTCTAAAACGTTTGCCAAACAAAAGCCCAAATCATTTATATGCACTTTATATCCTGCACAGACTGCTGTATACACATGTACTTGGGAGTTTTAGTGTGTGTGCATGTGAGTCGAGATGAGCTGTATGCAACTGGAAAAGAGTTGCAGCGGCTAGCCGAATCGGGAACATCATGTGGATACTCTAAGCCCACCCTGCTTATACCCCAAGCCCATTACAAATGGACAAAATATATTTAGTTTATTCTTGATCGACGAGCTGAGTTGCCTTTTAGGGGATAACCATAGCTACAAAATTGAAACATTTATTAAATATATGTTATTTTATATCATACGCAGAATGAGTTAAGAGTTTGTTCGACGTTTCCTTGCATTTACAAACAATCGATAATGACTTTTTCAGCCTGGCTCTTACAAGAATAGTTTGCATATTGAAAGAACTGCAGAGAAAGGTTCTCTATAGTACCTTGATAAACGCAATTCCTGCGATTGAGCTCTTGTCTATTGTCTCCTTTGATAAGCTCGATGTTACTCATAAAACAGAGAGTTGGCATAAGTTGGTTGCTGGCGACATAGATTCTACTTTTCTGTTAGGGCGTCTTCACCCTCTGCTCTGCCCTGATCTATACCAATTATCGCCCCTTAGTCCTTTCCCACATGCACAACTGATTAGGCTCCACACAATTATTTTCGTGTGCTATGCAAAGATTACAATGGTTTTACTCACGTTTTCTGAACTTTCTTTCCCCCCAATAAAATCGATACTTTCGGGATACCTTTAGCATCTCACAGACCATTGCCAGCTATGAGTAAGGGTAAGCTTGCCGGACAGGCTATAAATTTTCCTCTGATTTCCCATCATTACCTCGTTATACCATCTACACTCTATACTCTTTACATCTCGTATACACTTTTTACTTTCTTAGTAACTCGTATTTATTAAAATTAAAATTTTTTTTATCTGTCAAAAGGGGCATAGCTGACTGGACGGGCAAATAAAAGGCCTCCATCGTAGCGGGAATGTTATTAAAAAATTGTATATATTATTCAAGGCTTTTAGCATTTAGTTTTCACATATTTAAGTATTAGACAATTAGGTAGATACTCGTTTTGTAATCACGCACCTAAGCTGGCCATAACTAAGCCCCAAAAATTGCAAATCGGACTATAGGCACCGAAGTTAGTTAATATCGCAGTTGAGACTGTGAGGTTTAAGTTCAAGCCAAGGATGTTTTCTGATCGGACACTCCCGAATTTTACTTATTCCAAAGCAAATTGCAACCTAGCTAGATTAGCCGTTAGGATCACAAAACCCTTCAGCCAGCTAAGGAGGTCCAGGTTAGGATAGGGTAGCTCCGGCTGGGCCTAAGTTTCGCCAGCGAAACTAAGCTCTGTGAATAAAAAGCTGCAAAAGAATATAAACCGTATACGTTTAAGAAATTTGCATGCCGGCAGCGAGAGTTGGGAATGCGGCTAATGAATGCTAAAGTACACCCACACACACACACACACACACACACTTAGAAGAGGCGGCTGGCTGACAAGCTGAGGCACAAGTCATAAGAGTCGGCATAGAAATGGGAGAAAATGGGAACGAGAACGGGAATGCGCACAAAGAAATATTTTTGTCAATGCAACGAAATGGAAAGTTTGAGGAGGCAGCAACGTCTGCTTAGCCATTGAAATAAGGAACCGTGCGGTGCCCCATGCTCCAAGAAGCCGCAAGAAACGTCAACAAACAGGGGCGAGTCACTGAATAGAAAAAGGAAAAAATGTAAAAAAAAAAAAAAAAAAAAAAAAAATGCCAAAGAAACTGAATGCTGCTGGCACAACGAATCGAGGATGTGCGTGCAACTTGTAAAAGTGAAATGAAAGAGAGTGAAGAGGGGGAGGGGCAGTTAGGAGCGGAAAAGGGGACTGGGCTAGGGTAAGCCGTGTGGCAGATGAAGTTGCAGAGATGCTTTTGTTCTGACCTTTTCCTTTTCCATATTTTTTTTGTACTTGTGCATGTGTCAAATTTGAGACGCACAGGTGGGGGGCATCCCTGCACTTGAACTACGCCAAATACGAGACGCGGTCGGAGACAGAGACGAAGATGTAAGCGCAACCGATAGCCGGGGCAAGGGCAAGCTGTGTCGCGCTCGTAAGTTGCCGCTGCACTTGAGAATATATATATATATATATATGTTTTTTTGTCGGCCAGGGGAGGAAGGTTGCGCTATTAAGGGATGCAAAATGCAAGTGATTGCAATGTCGTTAGGGTTTCTGTCTGTCAATTGTTGTGTTGTGGCACGAAAAGGTTGTTAAGGGGGAGCGGGGGGCTAGCTCTAATGATGTGCTTGGTCGCTGTGCAGCTGCTTAGGCAAACAAAACACCCGGGCCCATTTGGCGAAGAGTTTGTTGTTTTTGCGCCTCGAAGTATGCAGCGCTTTATTTGCATATTCATATTGTAATACAATGCACATAGGACACACACACACACGTACATACTCTATACTTAATATATATATATATACACAGTTTATACAGAAATTCATGTTGTGTAATAAGCTTTGGGTAGTTAGACCTGGGTCTGGGTTGGAGCAGCTGGGAAGGACAGGGAGGGCAACCCTGTCTCGCTGGGGTCAACCCTGTACGGACCCATTGCAATATATATTATCCTCCGTTTTTTTTAAGCACTCGCTTATTGTTTTGCCGTAGTGTGTATGTATTAGTGGGCTTTTGCATGCGTGTGTCTTCCATTCTTTACTTTTTTTCATGCCCTAAAACCTTTGGATGTGATTAAAAAGGGTATCATAGTTGCGACAGAACGAAGCACATGTGTACTATATATATTCCTGATCGCTGAAAGACGAGCTTTATCTGTTCGCCTATCTCAAAACCTACTAAAGCTGGAGTCCTTAAATCTGCGAATAATCTTAATGATTTTATCTTTTTTCCGATGCCTTTCTTGGATTTCATACTATCGATAAATATTGATATTGTAAATCAAACTGTGCGCTATAAAAGCTAGAGGTTTATTACGATCGGACATAGACCGAAGTTATTGATAAACACATTTGGCATATCGGGCGGCTAAGAGAAGAAAGAAAAGAAAGGGAGCTAGAATGTTGATAAAGCTGGCAAACCTTGGCTGCAGAGCATCTGCTAGTCGAGCACTCCCCATTAGAGTACTCTTGTGTTTTTTGGGAGTTTCCATTAGAAACTTTTGCCAACATCATTTCCAGCAAAACGTCAAATAAAAAGGGTTCACACACACACACACACACACGCACACACACACACACACATTGCTCATTGCCGTTTTGCATGCAGAGATAAGCGCGGTCGGAGATTTAGATATTTTAGACATGCGTGTGCACTTCCGTTTGCGACCTCCACACACACACGCACACCCACACACAGGCACAGCACCCATCGCCTGTTTTTGACATGACCAGCGTAAAGTCGCCGACGCCCGTCACCGTTCCCGTTCCCTAACCCTAACCCTTGCCTCGCTAACTAAACATGCTTAATTAGAAAGTAGCTGCGGTTGCCGGCAGCAGTAGCAGCAGCAGCAGCAGCGACTGCGACTGCGACTGCGGCGGCATCTACGCGGCGACTCATATTTCACTGACCAGCGAACCACTGACCAGCGAACCACTGCCCAACCACCCCCTAACCCACCCACTGGCGCAGACCCTTATGGCACGCCCCACCCTGAAATGAATGACAGCATTTTCGGGTTAGCATCGCATCTCGCTGTTTGTCTCTCTTTTCGCGGAAAGCTCCGGGAATTATACGGGAAGGGAAATGTTGCTCATTACGTGGAGCGTGGGCGACGGCGACTCGCGCCCGCGCCCGTCACGCACATATGAATATGTTGAATTAATCACTTGGGTTTTTCGGGTTTGCTCCTTTTTTTCTCCTGCTTTTATTTAATTTTTTTTTCTGCCGCTGCGATGGGCTCAGTTTTAGCCAAAGCGGCTGCCCGTTGGACCACACATTGACATGGGCATTGCTCTAGGCATATTTGGTGGGCCCCGCTGTCCTGCTGCCCCGCTACCTCGCCCACCGCCCGCTTCTATATTTTGCGGCGAATCGATAAAAACTTTGACCAGCGCCCCAGCAATGCTGACATAGCGGTCGCTGCGCCGTCGACATGTGAAATGTGTGAAATGCACGCATTAAATAAAAAACGCCAAAAAAAAGAAGCCAAAAAAAATATAAATAAATAGCCGGCTGTGCCAAGCCGAAAGTTAAATATCCTTTCGGCTTAGAAAAGCCTTCATGCCACTGCTTTATTTACAATGTAGTTCGATTGCGTCTGAGTCGGTCAAGATATTAAATTGAAAACCGTTGAACAAGAAGGATGGTGGTTCAAATCTTAGGGCAGTTAATTAATGGAGTGTTGTCTCAGGCAAAGACTAAGGACTAAGCTGGAGCTAATTCAAAAGTTACATGAGCTTATAATTATGTTCTATACATATACAAAAAAGTGTTTTTAATTATAATATTAACATCTTAAAAAAAAATTTCCATGCAAGAAGTCATGATTCAAGCAATTATTTCAATAGAGCTTATTTTATATAATAAAGATCGTTCATATTATAGCTATAAGATGTTATGCTTCGATCCGGCATGTGCACAGCCTGCAATAGCTATGGGAATCTCTGGGGGAAAGGTGTCCAGGTTATATTTATATCGACTCGTCTGTTGTAATTGACCAGGAGTGTATTTTACAGAATTGAGCTGCTTTCTTCTGCGCGTTACACATTTCCTTACAAATTGTGGTACCCCCTGAAAGGGTATTAATAATAATAAAATAAAAAAACCCAGAAACCAATTTAAAAAGAGGTATGTACCCCAATCTGACTGCCCCAGCACCCGCTAGCTGGAAGGCAAAAGGCTTTTTGTTCATTGTATTGCCGATTTTAAATCGTCCGAAAGGTGTAGCTCTCCCCCCCCCCCCCCCACACGCTCCTCTGCCTCACCGCCTGCCTACGCGCTCTCATTTCCACCCGTTTCCCATTTGACGCGCTTTTTCACCGTGCCGGCATGTTTTAGATAAGGTAAATAACCGCGATTGTTTGGAATTTTAATGTAAAACTTTTTGCGTCATAGATGTTGTCCAACCGCGGATCTTTTAGAGGCCGCACGGTTGGCGGCTTCGTGGAGGTCCTCTAATGGTAGCCGTGCCCACGTCCGCACTTTTTCATTCGGCCTGCTAAGCATTCAGATTTTTATAAGCTGTACCACAAAAAAGCATCCCTATACCTATGTACGCAATGGAATTATCGTCACATTTTGTAAACGTACAATTTGTACTTCTTTTTGCCCACAAAATATATTGAAAACAGCTTGTCCTCGTGTCCTGGCACAGCCTCAATCGCGAGAGCTAGAAAAAAAAAAAAACATTTTTACTGAACTTTCCTGTCGAAAGATGGCCCTAAAACGTTCTTTTGGAAAAGTCAAGTGGTGAAAACAGTGGGCGAAGCTTTATGATTAACATCAATGGCTACCCAGACTTAGAGGCATACGTGGCAAACTTGGTCGGCATAGCAAGCAGGAAGTTGTCGGTTCAAATCAAGATGCAATTAAACTTAAATTTTTTTTAAGCGTTATCGTTATCTGAAGTATTTTTTATTTTAGAGAATGCTCTAGGCAATGAAAAAAATAGAGAGCTCTGATTGAAGGTCCCTTGAAACAAACATTTAGATTTCTCATATATATACAATCTATATACATATATTTATAGATATATATATATGGGTAATGCATTCTGAATTTTTGAAAGGCTGATCTAAAAGTGCCCAAATAGTTAAATATTGTGCATTAGTGTATACTATTTAAGAACCTACCTATAAATCGTCTTTGAAATCCAATCAATCAATTAAATCCAAGAGATAACAAGTGAGATGTTCTAGTCGGGAGCTCCCGACTAGGGGATACCCTGAACCCTCTTCTTCGAGCTTCGACTTTTTTATTTAAAGGTAATGGAGAAAAGTAACGATAACGGGAAAACATTTATAGATTTTCGATATTTTTTGTGATTCAATCGAAATAGGAAAAAATGATCGATAATTGGAAATCAACTTCTCGGCTTTAGAATATGAAGTCTCGGCTTTGG